TTGCTTAAAGCATCCAAATTTTATGCTACATTTAACTTTCTCCCCACTCCTCAGGTCAATCTGTGGCGAAGCAACGGTCCGAATTACTGATATGCTGCTTTTGCTGATGATACGGAATGATGAGCAAACCACCCGAGTCTCAGAAAGTATGATGGTAACCATAGGAAACAGCTTCGCACTTGATGAGAAATATACTTACTACTCATCATCATCAACAACAGCAGTACATCAGCCATTTGAACTGATGCTTCGCTGCCATACAACCATAAGGACCTACGGAACGAGAAAAGTGGGACTTGTCGGAAATACTTAATGCCATAAGTAAACGTTCAGTGTCAATGAGCCCACACCTTGTCAACAGCATGCCGACACAAACAGCTAGCTATCGTGCAGAGACATCTTCCTTGCGGCTTTCACTGTCACGCATCATAAGCAGCCAGTACCATGCGGATAACTCAGCACCACACACAGTTTAAACAGACAATCCGACTAGGAGACGGCAGCAGACGCGCCACTGGTGCCGACTGTGAGCCATGTCCTGTAAAGTCTCGAGCGAAGCACAAGGCGCGTCACGTGGACTCCAGCCCGGAAGGCGAGACGGACCAACGGCATACAGTTTGGTCGTCAGTGCCAAGTCAACTCCTGTCCACCTCGAGCCTTACGCCACCCTATATCTTGCAGACTATACAACGCCCTCCTCCGTAAGCGGTGAGCAGAAATACGTAGTACGTGCCCGAGCCAACGCCACTGATTCAATGCTATCCGTTGTGTTAAGGAAGTAGCTTGGGTATCATTGCCTAGCACTCGCTTACGCACATCATTGTTGCGGACACGCTGGTCCCATTCGACACCAGCAATGCTTTGTAGACAGCGATGATCAGACTTGTAGGCGTCTCAGATCTTCAGATTGAAGGGTCTGTCTCACTCCTAGAGTAGCACGGCACTCACTACGGCCTTGTAAACGGCCTTTCAAACAGAAAAAACCCCTTTCGGTCATCAAAGATGTCGCAGATTCAGAAAGACGGTTCTGGCTTTTGCAATACGTGAACTGACTTCATTATCTATGCACCCATCGTTGCTCATATAGCTATCCAGGTAAGTGAATTAATCAACTATCTCAAGTTCCTCGTCAGTAAGAGTCAAGGGGACATCAAGTAGCTGGTGGTCCTGTAACAACACTTTACACTTTGAAGGTGCGAAGCGTATACCAAATAATGGCGCCCACTTTAGGCAGGCTATTCGGGGTTGACTGTGTCGCCCCAACATCGTTAAACAGCGAGATCAACTAGCCTATCACCAGACAGGACCTCAACATCTGCATCGTGAGATTCCGCAAGAGAACATGAAGTCCACGAGGAAATGGAACAAAAATGGGGAAATCCGACAACCCTGACGAACGCCACTTGTGGTCGGAAAGCTATCCGACAGGTCATCATAGACCCTGAAGCGGCCTGTAATGTTCGAGTATAGAGCAGGTAAAATGTTCACATATTTCATGGGAACACCTTCCTGCACAAGTATTTTGAACAGAATGCATCGATCGATTGAGTCGAACGCATTCTTGTAATCAAGGAACACAGCTATTGTCGGTCTGCGGTATGCGTGGCACTGCTCCAGCACCTGCCGCAAAGTGAATATGTGGTCTTTACAGTCCCGTCTTGGGCGGAAACCTGCCTGTTCTCCCCTAATCCGGGATTCCCGTTCCGCAGCGAACGAATACTTACTATTACCATTACTATTATTGTCATTATCATTATTATACAGTAAAGGGAATGTGCTCGAAACAGCAATACAATAACATAACCTGCCATCCCGTAGGATAGTCTACTAAGAAAGGTGCTCAGGTGGAGGGTGCCCAGAACATAGTCAGCTGATTAAATATCACGCTCTTACTACGTGGTTGTCGTGCGTGATACTAAGGTGAGCGTGATACACAAAGTATAGTATGGCCTGTTATAATGAATAAGCCAACGGGAATGGTATTGAACAATAAAGAAACCAAAAAGCAGCTCGTTTATCAACATCAGTGACTAGGAAGCAATGCGCAAAAGCGATAAGGGCACCAAGCGAACAGTGTTGACCTGCTGCTGTTTGGCAGAAGACTGTTTAGATGTCTGTCACCGGCCAGTAGTCTAGAGGTAACGTGCTTGTCTCGTAATCTTGCGGCGGGGACGCGAGTCGGCCTAGGGGCACGGCGATCCTCGCAGTATTGTTAGTCCACGTGAGACTGGAGGTGATTGCGCGGCAGCGAAGCGTCGGTACTGCGTCGGCGTACTGTTGATGCCTTCTAGACTTTTTACGGACAATGTCGCCTCAATGTTGCCATAAAAAGCATAAAAAGTGTTCCAAGTAAGAAGCAGTCAATAAACGCCACGTTTTGAACGCAGTCTGTGTCAGGTATACGATAAATGTTCTTCAGATGGAGCACAGTAAAAGTTGACAGTATATAGAATGACCCTGGCAATCTTGTAACATGTAGCAAAAAGAGGGAATAATATCAAGCCTCTATGATGCTACAGTGGCCATAGCAGCACAGCTGAGATTAATAAAAAGGGAAATCAAACCTTTCGTCAACCATCTTATTTACCTGGAGCTTCCAGGGAATCATCCCCACCAGTAGGACCAGGTAAGGGAGTTTCGCCGTTCTTCTGGCAACCAGTTATGTAGATTGCTTTCCACTTTGCATACTTTCTCGCCTTCTCCAGCTAAAATACAGACACAGGTTAGCACAAAACCAGAGACATCATGCCTCCTCTGTTGGACATCCCAAAGTGGTGGCAACATCCAACAAAACCCCAGCAGTCCAAAATGACTGCACAGTAGGTCTTCACAAGGCAGTGTGTGTGGGAAGGGAAAAGGATTTACCTGCTGAAATCACTGTTTAAGTCTTTCTGGTAAGCGAATTGGAACAATTTAAGCGCATATGACTCGAGATGAGCTAGCCCGATCGTTTCGCTTGCTATTCCCTCCACCGACAAGTTTTTGCTTTTGATTTCTTCTAACTTGCTCATGAGTTTTGTCAGATAAGCCTTAGAGTCCGGTGAGGATGGATCTATCCCGTAACCTTTCTGAAAGGCGCACAACCTGCCTAGAATAGAAAAAAAACAGGTAAAAACTCAGGCAGAACGTACAGTAGTAAGCAATCACCACGTCCCGAGCATCGTGTTGTTCCGCACACTTGATAAACATGGATATTGACTTCAGACTGGGAGGTAAGGCCATTCTATGATAAGGAAGTGGTCTGTTTTATGCTAAAACCGTAGAACAAAGAGCATCTGAGAAGCATCAATTATTTCGTTCAGGAAGAGCAGGTGTCTGAGAACGCTGAATGCAGATGATAAGTAACGGACAAGTGTTCCACCAAACTTGCAATGTCTTCCTCAGTTGTTCAGTCGAAGAGGGTAAAAGAAGTACATACCTCAGTCGTGACTTGAAACTGAGTGGCGACTGACGCATTTAGTAACTCTGGCTGTGTAAAGGTCTGGATATTGTCAAGGCGACTAGGCGTGGATAAGGGGATGATTGCAATCATCAACAAAGATCTAAACGTAAGACAGTGAGAATGTGGTGTTGTTCACAAGGTGGACCACTTTCACATAAATGAGTGTCACCATATTTCTACAACTACAACTGATTGACCAAAAACCATTGACCAATCTCGTAAAGTGCGCTATAGTGGTCCCCAGAAGCACCACCTTATCAGCGATGAATGCAAAGCGCTGCACACTAATGTTACCTATCATTGCGAAGGCCAATGGTAGTGACCGCAGAGGTTGCCCGCAAGCTGCAGGTGTCCGGCCGACCTTGTCCCATAATTTTGAGGCGCAGGTTCGAGTCCGCGTAGCGGCAGGGCGACCCTCGCAATATCCTTAGCCCACGTGCGACCGGTGGTGGTTGCGCAGCAGCGAAGGGTCGGTACTGAATACCGTCATACTGCTGATGCCTTCCGTCACTCGAATTCTGTTAAACGGCATTGTGGCATTGGGACAAAATACTGACACACAGATGATTGTGTCGATGATGATGAGGATGGTGTAACATCCGTAGCTACCGTAGTACGCACCGATGATCTTCTCGGACTTATGTCGAGCATTAACTATAGAACAATGGCTTAAAACGAGTAAAAAGGCCCTGTAGGTTGGTAACAGAAGAAATTAAAATTCAAATATTGCATAATTGGACCAAAGAAAGTACGGATCGGTGAAAGGATAGAGTAATGGCATATAGAATGAGGGTTGTGGGAGTGACATAGTACCAGGCAAAGTGAAAGAACAAGATTTATGGCTAATACTCAATGAAAATAACATGCAGACTGCTCACCCTTCTGCATAAATTTACGTGCGTCACGGCACGTCATAATCCCAAAGAGGCTAGTTAGGCTGGATATACCCTAAATATCCGTTCACGTAAAAACTGTAGGACATGCATTTCGACATCAAATTGTTTTCTGAAAACAGCTAAGGTAGAGGCATAGACAACTAAGGTTGGAAGCTTTGTGTCGACAGCATCTGGCTCCAGCAATGCTGAGCAACACGAGCAATTTACGGTAGGCGCAACAAGAGAGCGTTCTTATGCATGAATCAGGGGCATCCGTATTCGGACTTGCCTGTCACTGTGGCCTCTAAGGTGACAGCCCCAGGACGCCTGCGCTTACAACGGGACCATGGGTAGATTGCGCTGTACCACCCTCACACTCCATATCCGGTGTAAACCTGAAGGAATAAGACCGGGAGGCATGTGGATGAGAGCCACGTTTCATCAACGGAGCCGGCCCACACTCCTCCACAGGCAAACACAAGCACACTGTATTTGGGAAACAAGCGCACACAAGGCGGTGGCTGGACCGTAGTCCGCTCCACACACAAACACAGTCACGAGGACCATGCACCGCATTCCCTCCAACAACGACCAACTGTCTCCTGGAGCCAGTGTAGATGAGGTAGTGGGTAATAAACAGGTAGGCACCATGTCAACATGCACATCAAGCGTAATCACATCAGGGATGTCGAACAACAGCCAGTCATTTGGGATGACGATAACAAATAAAATAAAGCGGATGAGGCATAAAGATACGGCGATTTAACTCCTCGTTAAACTAGCATACCTAATAAATTGGCTATCAACAAATCCGCGCCAAGTTCAAGATGTCATAAAATATACTTTTTAATAATGCCACAAAAGCGAAAATGTTAACGAAGTTAACCACAATTAGCTTGAGCGACGTGTGCAAGTTAAAAGATTACTCAGGCAGAGGTTAAAATGAGGTAAAAAAACCATTAAGACGAATAGCAAACCCACCACTTAAAACAAAGAAACTCAGCACGCAAACATTCGGTTAGTAAAACGAAGGCAGCGTACCCAGCAAGGCTGCGCCGGTTCTGCTCACGTCGTCGTTTAGAATCTGGTCCCGAGTGGCCTCGCTCGTGCTTCCCCAGACTTGTCTGACTCAGGCACTCGCGACCGCATGTACTACAGCACCATGCGCTCAACGTCGACGGAGTACACCCCATCGGCTCCAGCCGCTTCCGCACTTGCCGCTTCTTCTACACATGTACGAGGGCTTTCTCCCGCATATCAGCAACTGCCTTCGTGATCGGATCGCGCCATGCACGCCGATCAACCGCCTTCGATTCCCATGACCTGCAATCAAGATTAGAACGTGAGACGCTTACTTTGATCATGTCACAGTAACGAAGCTTCGGTTTCCCTACATGCCGCTTCCCAACAATCAGCTGACCATATAACAGCTGTTTCAGTATGCGCGTCGAATGCATACGGCTCTCAGGACCGAGCCACCTCAGGTGTCTCAGCAAAAGTATACAGTCCAATGCACACATTCCATTTCAGGGCAACACTTCCGTGTCCGCAACTCTGTCGCACCAACCGATGCGCAGAATCCGTCGCAAACACTGTTGATGGAACTGCTCGAGATATCGCACATCCCGACGGTACATCGTCCACGTTTCGCTGCCATATAGAAGAACGGACAGCACCATGGATTTGTACACCATCAGCTTCGTGTCGACGGTAAGTTGGTGTTTGTTGCGCACTCGGTACTCAAGGTTCCTGAACGCCGACGCTGCTTTCGATACTCAGGTACGCAACTCACCGTGTGTTTGTTGGCCAAGCGAAAGCACACTCTCAAGGTAGCAGAAGCGGGTGGCGTCTAATACCACGTCACCAATGCTGATTTGCGGCACCATTGCGGGCTGAAAAAGACAGACAGTTTTGCTTGTGTTGATGTTGAGCCCGAATGTAGCCGCTGTCGGAGCCAAAGCACTAGTCACGTGCTGCAACTCATCCGCGCTGTGTGCAAACAACGCAGTCGTCAGCGAACAGCAACATACGGATAGTTGTCTCACAGACTAGAGTTCTCGCACCGAAACGACGGATGTTCAGCAACCCACCATCAATACGGTGCTCCACACGAACACCGTAAGCACAAGCCGCATCAAAAGCACAAGACAACATTGCATGAAGATATATATTAAACAGGGCATGAGCTAAGACACAGCCTTGCTTCACACCAGAGACAACTGCAAAGTCATCAGAAGTCTCTCCACTCAGCTGCACCCTCGCTCGCATACCACTGTGCAGACATTCAATTAAACTTACAAACTTACGCGGGCAACCAAACTTACCCAACACCAGCCACAATGCCTCGCGGTTCACCGCATCAAATGCCTTGGTGAAATTGACAAAAAGCGAGTACAACGGCTGATGTCGTTCTCTGCACTTCTCCTGCAACTGACGAGCTGCAAACACCATATCTATGGTGTTGCGAGGCGAACGGAATCCACGCTGCTCTTCCGCCACGTTAGGTTCCACAATCTGACTCACGAGGCGACTGAGCAGGATTCGGGCAATCACCATGCTCACACAACTCAGCAAGTTGATGCCACGATAATTCGTGCAACGTTGCTTGCCCCCTTTGCCCTTGTACAGTGGTAGCACAAGGGTATCCTTCAGCTCAGGAGGCACCTCCTCCTCAATCCACACGCGTTGCACTGGTGCAGCGCATTCAACAGCGCGGGTCTGCATTGTTTCAATACTTCAGGCGGGATCCCGTCAGCACCGGCACACTTAAGGTTTCACAGCTGAGCAAGTGCTCCCTGCATCTCATCCAGTATCGGTGTGTCTGCCAGACTCATCTTCACCTCGTGCTGCATGACGGCGTTCAAAGTAGGCCAGTCAATCTCTGAACGGTTGTTCACAAGACAGTCAAAGTGTTTCCGTCAGATCTGCAGTCTGTGTGCAGGTAGCACCTAAAGTAACAGCATCCCCAGCGGCTTCAACCTCAATGCATACACCGCCTTCAAGGAGTCAAAAAATTCCTTGTGTTGGCAGCGTTCCGCGTAGCATTCCATCTGCTTCGCCTTCTCCGTCCACCATGCATTTTCAATGCGACGGAGCTCTCGGGTCAATCGCCCAAGTCACTGGGGTCTGACACATGTGCAGCAAATGCTGCATTCTTACCTGACACCAATGCCCCAATCGTCCCATTGTTCTCATCAAACCAATCAGGTCGCTTACAGTTTGCGCACCCGATGGCCTCCTTGACAACAGCAGTCACCTGGTAGCGAATGCGGTGCCACAAGTCGCCCACTGCGGCTATGCATTCCCCATCACACAGTCGTGCAGCCATCGCCTTATTCCCAGCTCAATACGCTTCTTAACAGAACCGACGGAGAGAATGTTAAATTTACGCCGATTCACGGCGGGAGTGCAATACATAGATTTACGAAAATATATGTACAGTTTGGTCCGCACCAACTTGTGATCAGTGCCACACTCAGCTCCACGCAGTACACGTGTCATGCGCACTTCACGCATATCACGCTGACGTACGATGACATAGTCGAGTAGGTGAGCGTGACCACTCCGCGGGTGCGTCCAAATTGCTGTATCACTCGCACTCAGTGCCAACCGACTGTTCATGATTGCCAGGCCGTGAGTGGCACGCAGTGAGAACAGCTTGTCATCGTTCGTAATCGTTAAACGAATGTCATGCGGACCGAGGACATCTGTCCACACCGATGCATCACGCCCAATGCGCGCGTTGAAATCACCCAGCAGAAATACTCGGTCGCTCATCGGCACAGACGGTAACACGGAGGATAGCTGAAAGTAGAACTGATTACCCGTGTCATCAGGACAGCACATGCTTACAAAAGTGGCAAACTTAGCTCTTCCGAGTCATTAACCGCGTGCTGATGCCTGTTGGTTCACCCACCAGCTGGCCATGGAGGCGATCGGATATTGCAAATCCGACCACATGTTCACGTGGTGCTAAGGCGGCGTTGCCCACCCAGTAGGATGTGCAATCAGCATTTCTTTCATGCAACTTACCTTGCTCAGTGAGTCAAGTCTCAATGAGCGCCGCAATATCGATGTTGTAGCGCGCCAGTTCCATCGCAACCAGCGCAGTCGCTCGGGGCGCTCACTCGAGTTCCGGTCCAGTAGTGTGCGCACGTTCCAGCACCCGATGCTGAGTACTTTGCGCATAAGGATACGATTACATTGGTGGGCAATCGCACGCCAGGTGGTCGTTGTGCTTCGGAGGTTTGCTTGAGTGACTAAACCCGGAGCCTTTGGCTCAACAGCCTGACCCACAAGACAGTGGGTGGTTTGGAGGTTTGCTTGAGGGACTCCACCCGGAGCTTTTGGCTC